GTAACTTCTTGCTGTAATAATATTATCATCATTATTAACATTGATTTGATCAATAAGTAATTGTACTTCATCTATTTTAGGATCAACTTCCATAGTAATAGGTCAGTCGACTTCATTATCAGGTAGAATACCTGTTTTTTCCCAACATCTATCATGAATAATGATGAAATTATTATTACAGAAATTTATTGGATCATACATTACTAAAATAGTAAAGATTATCTCTCAAGATTTATGAAAATCATGTGAATCGACTTATCGAGAGTCATTTATATTATCTGGCTGGAGGAATTGTCCGACTTGCAGCTTAACAAGAGTTTATATATGTGTCCGACTTATCAAGAAATTTTTAAATATAAAAAAGAAGGCTGAAAATTTTTGTCCGAGTTAGGCCAAATCCGACTTTTTGCGGTGACACCAGAAACATTCTAATCATGTGCACAAATTATTTGATCTGATCAAAATCAAATTTTCTTCCTATTTAATAAAATGTCAGAAACTTCAAGCAAAAAACCTCATAAAAGATTTATTGGGAAAGCTGCCGCAACAAAAAAAAGACAAGAAAATGATCAAATAGATAACATTGAAGAAAGTGCAAACTTTGCTTTAAGTAATTTTTATTATTTAATTTTTATATTAAAAAAAGAAAACTTTTATTTTAATTTATTTTAATTTATGCCAATTAGCTGATTCCTCTAAATCAAAACAATTGAATCGAGCTGCAAAACAAATTCCTTCAGAAATTTTGGATGATTCATTATTAAACAAAGCCATTAAGCAGGTTTATATTTGTTTAAAAATGTTTTTTTTTTTAATTTGAAAATATTGAAAAGATTTAAGAGTTGACAAAATTACATATTACTTACTAGTTACCTGATAATTATAATTTCGAAATTCATAAAACTATTTGGAATATTCAAAAATCAAAAGTAAAAAAAGGTTGGATTTTAATTGTTATTATTATTAATTCTTCATTGGAATAAAATAATATATTAATACTACTATTATCACAATTATGAAATAAAGTTGCCTTGCAGTTTCCAGAAGGATTATTAATGTTTGCTTGTACAATTGCTGATATAATTGAAAGGTTGGATTAATATAGATATGTACGTATTTAACATTTAATCATACTAAAAGATATATATGCATGTCTGTGATTTTGTATATAGCTTTTGTAATGTAGAAACTTTGATTATGGGTGATGTTACATATGGTGCATGCTGTGTAGATGATTTTACAGCAAATGCTTTAGGTTGTGATTATATGGTACATTATGGACATAGCTGTCTAGGTATATTTTTGATTTTAAATTATGTAAATCTCCCTACCTATAATAATTAATTTTTTTTTCTTTTTTTTTTAAATTATAATAATAAACTTTAGTACCAGTAAATGTTACTACCATAAAAACAATGTATGTATTTGTAGATATTGGAATAGATGTTGAACATTTTGTAGAAACTGTAAAACTAAATTTTGAACAAAATAAGAAATTAGCTATTGTTGGAACAATTCAATTTGTGGGTGCTATTCAGGTAGATTAATTTACTCATTCATCATTCAATTGATCAACCAACAAACTAATTATAGGTTATTTTGCTAACTAATTATTAATCAATTAGACTAATCTCTCAAATTCTTTTTTTAAAAAAATCTCAAGACTGCAAAAATTTTACTAGAGAAAAATTATATTTTGACGGTGCCACAAATTAAACCTTTATCTCCAGGCGAGATTTTAGGGTGTACTTCACCAATAATAGGTGAAAAGGATGCATTAATGTAATTCAAAAAAAATAATTAATGTCTATTTATTTGTAATTATATATTTTTAGAAAATTTTTATTAACCTTGTTATTGTAATAAATTTTTCTTCCTACCAGATATCTTGGTGATGGACGATTTCATTTAGAATCTATTATGATAGCCAATCCAAATGTACCTGCATTTCGGTAATCATCATATCTTCTATAAAATTCATAATAAATTTGGATTCAATTGAACTTTGACAAACAAAATAATTTCTATATGTATGTATGCATTCTTATTTTAGTTATGATCCATACTCCAAAAAGTTTACAAGAGAAAGATATGATCACAAAGAAATGCTTATGTTACGAAAGCATGCAATTGAAATTTCTAAAAAGGCAAAAAAATATGGATTGATTTTAGGAACTTTGGGAAGACAAGGAAGTTCAAAAGTTTTGGAGGTATTTCTATTATTACTATTAATGACTGATAAGCAAAAGTTTATTTGTATAATTAAGAACCAATATATTTTCATATCATATATAGCATTTAGAAGAAAAAATCAAATCAAATAAACTAGATTATGTTTGTGTTTTACTCTCAGAGATATTTCCTGATAAATTAGCACAATTCCAAGATATAGATGCGTTAGTTTCAAATAATATATATATTTAATTAAACAATTTTTCAAATAATAATTAATTCAAATTGCTTTTTATTAAAAAAAGGTGGATTCAAATTGCCTGCCCAAGATTATCAATTGATTGGGGATATGCATTTTCCAAACCATTGCTATCACCATATGAAGCATCAGTAGTATTAAATTCAATTAATTGGCAAGAAAATTATCCTATGGATTTTTATTCTGATAATAGCATGGGACCTTGGACACCTAGGGTATAATATTTTATCATTTTTTTAAAAAAATACCACATATATAATTATTAATTTATAATTTATTTTTAAAATTCAAGTTTACAAAACCAAAAAATATCAAACAACTTGATCAAAATTAATTTAAAAAATGTATTATTAATCAACTAAGGATTATTCTTTTAAATTTATTATTTTAAATGTCAAAATTATTAACACTATGGCAAAAAATGAATTTCTATACCCATCGTAACACTTTTGAGTATCCGTAATAGTAACACTTTCTAATATCAGTAAATGATATTATTTTAATTAATAATAATGGTAATTTTCCAATTTTTCATCAGAAGAGTCCATTACCAATGATTTGTAATTTGCTCGCACATAATAATTAAAGCATTAAAAATATTCAGGAATTGGTTTTAAGATTAATTAACTTCTTCACTACTCTAAACAAAAAGGAAATCGCAAAAAGAGTTATCCAAATATTCATACTAATACAGTGATTCAAGATATTAGTACTAGATGGAATTCATCATCTTATTTATGGAAAAGGTTGATTGATTTATTAAGTGTAATTGCTCATTTACCATCTTAACTTATAGCTGATTTAAATAAAGATAAAAAAAAGATTTGAACAAATCATGTTAGTGGATTTTGATGAAAATTTTTGTCATAAAATTATTTAGTTTTTATATTTTTAAAAAGATTCATATATTTAATTACATGAAATGTTGTCATGTTAATAAAAAATGAGGTATATATTATAATCACAATATCCAAAGTAAAAGTATATTAATATGGGACATACTGCAACAAAACCAGACAAAGTGAACATTTGATTACCATTGTGCTTTAACAGCTTTTAATTGTTGTAATATTAATATATATATTAAAAGAAAGCCACATACATAATTTACATAATTTAGAATTAAATATCAATTGTAGATTCTTCAATAGTAACTTTGTAATGATTTAGGACTGTTTCTATTTTTGAAATTTGAGTAGTGATATTCTTGCAAATACTTGATTCTATCTATAATTACATATAATAATAATGTTACGCATTTACTAATGATCATATTAGTATGTGATGCCAAGAGACATCTGCTTTAATAATAAATTGTTCCTCAAAGTTTTTCCATTCATTTTCGTAAAGAGGCCTCTTAATTGATCGAATTTATTATTCTCGGGCAGAAATATTATGCCATAACGAGCAATTCCTTTATCAATTGTTGTAATTCTATTTGACCACTCACTCCCTTTTTTTAAATAAGAAATTTGTCAATATTTAATCATTATATGGTTTGGGTCAACATTTCATAAAAAGATACAAACTTCTAGTGGATGTATGTCAACATCATCATTGTCGTTATCGTGATCAACATTATCTGGTATATTTGGAATAGCAACGAGTAATCAGATTGAATTTGGGAGAGCGTGATAACAGTTATTTTTGTTTTGTGTGGATCAGAATGAATAGGGGATCAATGAATTGATTTTGTTATTAGCGAATAATTTTGGGTAAAGATAAAAGTTATAAATAAAATATTACTATTTTATTTATTTAATTTTATTTAGTCGAAACTAATTAACTTGTTAGAAAGTTACTTTACAAGTACATTGAATTCAAGCTCCTTATATACAATTCAATTAATTAGAAATTCTAATATCCCCAAATTGAGATACTCTCTCAATATTGAGAAGTTATCCCAAAATTGAGACGATATCTCAAAATTGTGAGGACATTATACAAATAAAAATATAATGAAAACAAAACAAGCAAGCGTCATGCGATTGCAAACCTCATAACTATAGAATTCTAATTTTTCTACAGGCAAGGCAATTGAACAAATTAGGAGGCTTCAGACAAGCAAGAGGCTTGACACAATGTGATAAATAACTTCAGAGCGTCGTTACCCCTCTCCGAAGTTTAATTCCATTCTTATATCATCGGGGATCAAGTCAGATTAGACTTTTTCACAAGGAAGATGTAAATAATTGTTATCAAATCGTTTTTTTTAGTGTTCCCAGGTTATCCGATAGCAGTTTCCTATATGTATGTGTATATATATATATCTTTATGATTATGTTGTTGCATTATAATTATTTTAATGATAATAATGAATGTTCACGCAAAACAAATATACCAATCGTTTGTTTATTATCACGCGCGGCAAGGAGAGTACTTGAATAAGCTTCTCCTTACTGATTCTGCAGAAAGTATAGATATCCTACCTTTTATTAAGTGTATCCAGTGAGGAAACTAACTGCTATTTGCTGAGTGATACCGTGGAAGAAGACTTGCTGAATGGTCAAGATTTGCTGAAGAGTCACGTAGCAACTGAGGCATAGTATTTGGCATGCGTTATCTGTTGGAATATATTTTAATAAAATTATTATGATATTTATTATTATTTAACTAATATACCAATCATTTGTTTATTATCACGCACAACAAGGAATCATATCTTGCATAAACTTCTCCTTACTGTTTCCACTTCGATTCTGTAGAATGCACTTAAAAGTATAGATATCTTTCCTACCTTTTATTAAGCGTGTCCAGTGAGAAA